TCGCCTTCGTGCACTCGCCCGAACACTCCCTTAACCGCCATTCTTCCAATGTGAAACTCGTCCAACCTCCCTTTCCAGCTCTTTTTTGACCCTTTCTATTTCTTTTTATTCATCGTTTTTTGCGCTTTTTTCGTTGTTATCGCTTTATTCTAGAGTAGTTCTATGAATTCCCGTTAAAAAAGGGTACCCTAAATTTATCGTAAACGGTGCCTTTAATCCTTTTATATCACCTGTTTCACCTGTCGTCCCGGTGACCATCGTTTCCCGGTGAAAGTACGTAACCTCTCCATTCGACCCCGTCTCGAGCCAGAGTGGTCCAGTGGATCGCCCTCGCTTGAGGGACACGAGCATAGCATCCCTTTCATTCAGAGCTGTCATGAAAGAGTCTGGCCATCGCCTAGCACCATTCCTAATGTCCGTTTAGCGTCCCGAGGGATTCATTTAGAAAACACTCTTGTCCAATGACCATTACAAAATCTTACGACGGGTCGAAACCATGTAATCTTTGGATCCTTGGCTTAGGCAACTGCGAAGAAAAATGTACGATATAAGAAAATTCAAGTTAACTTGTGGACCTACCCCAGTATCATCAAAGATGACCGTGGGCGACAGCTAAGTAACTCGCATACAGCGGATTAGACCAGGCAATTCGTTGAGAAAGCAGTACTAAAAGGATAATGACGTAGATAGTAGAAATGCGGGAACATCTGCTGTCCATGTACAGTCAACTGACTGAGTATAACGATTTTCCTTAAGCGCTTTTCTGACGTGATCGACCTGGATTGCAATGCGGTATCGCTGGTTGCCAATCTTGCATTTGTTCCGATGTTTTTTCGCCGTTAATCCTATCCGGTGTCATTCAAATTCTAAATCAATCATGCGGAACGCCAGCGGACCTGCACTAGCAGACCGCGACGCGACCGCTTGCGTAATGCATTCTGGAAGTGTCACATGCGCGAAACGAACTAATAGCCTTCTATATGCCACAGTAAGACTTTTATTGTGCTGAAGTTGTTCTTCAGTGCTATGGAAAGAGAACATCGCCAGAGAATCTATTTCCTTGCTCCCTCCTTTGGGATGAGAAAAAGGCTGATATCGCAACATGATTAATCACAATTGAAAGTCAGCAATTCTATCATGAGATGTCGTAGAACCGGTCCCAGAAAGAATTAGGAAAAACTAGTAACAGCCTCTTTTCTGAAAAAGACCAAAGTACGACTGTCTCGTCTACGTGAAGTCGGTAGTAATTGCAAGACCTCCCGTTCTGCCCTTTGGTTTGCATTAGGGATCAAAAGCTGCCGCGTGTGCTGGACGGGCTTTTTCATCTACTTCCCAATCTCTTGACCCGGTTGCCAGGCGTTCAGTCCTCCAGAGATTCAGCAATGGCCTCTCGGGCAGAGGCGCTCTCTGCACCCTCTCACGCCCCTCCTGCTGTATCTGCACCCCCGTTGCACCGGCTATGCTCGCTCCGCCCGTGGCCATTCTAATCCCCTTTACGGTGTCGAATGAGGGCTGCCATGCGATTCCCCATTAAACGAGTCGACGACCCTCGGAAGGCCAAATGTGCGACCCGGCGCAAACTGACAATTCGTCGGCTCGTTCCACGCCTCTACACTGACCCAGTTGCAAATCTCCACCACACCGTCACAGTGGCTGTACATGCTGCTCAACTCGTTCTCGTTCCAGTCCTATCTATCCCTTGTCTGTGAAACCGTTCTCGTCTTTGTCATCTTGGCCATATGCCCTCTTTTGGCAGACTGCTGCTTTATTCGGCATTCGGGGGAGACCAAAGTTTGCCCAATCCTTTATCGTCGCCGCCCATGTAGGCACAGTGATTCAGTGGATGCACTGTTTTATCAGCGGTGAGTTATGCAACGTCTCCGGCCAGTCATTGCCATTCTAGCCCTTCGCCAGATCAAAGATTTCCCGCTCCAACGATAAGCTCTTTCTTAAAGGATCTGAGTAATTACCGTAATCCCCTCAGTGTATTCAAATTTGGCCGCCGATTTTTGGGAATGCGGGAGGAAGTTCCTTCGCTTACTTTATTTTTTTTTATTTTTAGAAAATTTATTTTTTATTTTCTAGGTTAGGTAAGTCATATCAGCACTCGGAGTACTGCTCTGGCGTCAGTAGCTGCTACAGAGGCGATAACCTTGTCACACTTTGCAAAAGACCCATTTGGGAAAGTTTTTCAACTGTTTGTCTGGTATTGTCGAATCCCGTTCGTTTTTTTCCACGTCTACGGCTTTGAATTCCATTTCAATTCCCTGCTTTGCGTACACATTTCATGATCGATTTTCCAGTTCTGCTGCTGTGGTGTTAGAGGCTATTGCAAAAGTTTCGTTCATTCGTATTCGCTTTCGTTTTTTTGCCCTTCTCTCCGATTACGTTCTTTGAACTTTTCACAGATTTTCACGATTACATAGCATCAATGTCCATGAAAGGCTATCATTTAACATCGAGAAACCCGTTTCGTTCTGATTGTCGCCACGTGTTCTCAGTTTTGATATCCTTCATTGTCGTGCTATTCGTTCTTAAACTCGGATCAACTTTTTTAAATACTGCTCTTTATGTGGAGTCCTCATGTTGTTTGTCCCTTGCTTGGACGTTTCCCGTGATGTCCGTGAAGATCATTACAATTGCTAAGAGATCGAGACGCTTTCTCTTAGCAACCGCATGTTTTTTGTCTTTTCGTTCCGAATGGCCCCCATTAGTCCTTCTATTCTCTATATATCCCTTGTTCAGGGCTTGTGGTTATGGCGAGGTACGACTACCTTCCTAAATATGGACTGGAGAACTACACTTTGGTTTTACCCTTGGAGGACAGTTTCGATCCTGTAAAGTCCACTGTTTGGATGCAGGAAAGCTGGTTGCACTCAGTCACGTTCTCAGTCGGCTATATAGCGTTGATTTATGCAGGGCAAAAGGTAAACAAGGCGATTCATCTTAATTACTCTCGTGGAGTCTGTTATGTCAACAAGTGATGTATTTGTTAATGATCACATCAGATTTTTGTTTACCCAAGCGTGCATGTTCAGGTCATGGAAAGTCGAAAGCCTTTTGGTCTAGAGATGCCGCTATTCATGTGGAATATGGGGTTAGCGATATTTTCCCTTCTTGGATTTATTCGCATGACTCCGGAATGGTTATGGAGTTGGAAAGAGTGAGTCTATTTCATTGAATTGCTTGACGTTCGTCGAGAACTTCCATCATCCAACTCCGGTGTGAAGCATTCTAATACTCTTTTCTGATAGTTTTTTAGCCTTAGCCTACTTAGCTTAGCAACTAAATGTGTATTTTTCCAAGCCTTCAATTATTTTTTTTGAGTAACTACTTGTTTTTCACAGTGTCTTATTTTGTAGACTTGGGATCTGAGTATTTTACGGTTAACATATAATTAAATCAATATTTTGGTCCTGCAGAAAAAGATGCTCGTATTTTCCAAAAACAGACGCACTTATTCAGTTGCCAACCTAATAGGAGCACGAATGTTGGTACTACATAGCAGGTCGTCACTTTCTCTTTTGCACTCTCCTGGGGTCAACGCAAAAGTGCAAGTTTGTTTTGAAAACCACAAAGGGCTTCAAAAATCAAAATTTTCACCTCATTCTAAGGGACAAAAACAACAAATACATGAATTTGCACAGATGCCTCAAAATTTGCGCCATCTGCTTTTACACACGCTTCCGAACAGTCGATCTCAGAGATAATGGCGCCCCGCGAATAGCTTTAAATGAACTTAAAAAGTACGACGGCAACTGTTCAAACTGAGTATCATCTTGTTCTGCAAATTCTTTCTCAGGTAACCAGGTTTGAGCCTTGCTTTTTACCCACTTTAACACTTTGAGTGTGGTTTCACAAGCCACAATAAAGTAACTAGTAATTGAAAAATATATGTAATGATTTTTTAAGGCACAAAATAAGATATTTTCCAAATTTCACTCAGGAATAAAATTAACATTAAACAACGCCACTACTTTTTATCTTGCACCCTATTGATCTTTCGTGCGTACTTCGATATAAACTTTTAGAAAACAAGTGTGTCTTAATAAATAAATATGGAATCGCCCTTATTTTTGGAAACAACTTCAAGGCAGCAAATGCCTGAAGAACACTCGGAATGAGATTTTCTATGGGTTCGTTTCAGCAACTCGTTTGTGTACTCCGTTTGTACAGCCTCTTATGCTCAAGGTGTGACTGGATTTTGGACTGAGCAATTTGCCATGAGTAAGGTGAGAGCTTCTTGTTTTCTGATGCTATTTCTGCATTTCTGGAACAATTTTTCTGGAACAATTTTCAGTCTTGTCAAACGTTTCATCTGCGTTTTAAGTGTGAATATGCCCAATAATTAGCATTTTAAAAGTAGAAGCGATGTCTTTTAATACGTTTTCGGTTTTTTCCCAGAATACATCTCTTTGCGCATAAATTCGCTTTCTGAAACTTGCATTACTTCTTGTTCAGAATGAACGACCACTTCAAGGCTTTTTTTGTCACCAGTTGCCTAGCCTCTGGTGATTAGCTGTTTATACGTGATGTTAGGCCGATTAGCACTACTTTTACATTTATTACTTTTCCACTAGGAAAGAAACTACCTGGCACAGTGGTTACCTACTTTGAAACAGCTTCCTTTTTTTCAAAATCAATCTTCATTTTATATTCGCTCTTTTCGTTCGAATGAAAACGTGTTCCATTTCCCATTTCCAGGTGGCCGAACTACTAGATACCGCTTTTATTGTCCTTCGGAAACGTCCACTTCTTTTCCTTCACTGGTATCATCATGTTACAGTCCTGATCTTCACATGGCATGCTTATAAGGATCACACTGCTTCAGGTCAGTTTTTCACATCGTAATATTCTTTCGTTTCTAATGGTTCCAATTCTGCAGGGCGTTGGTTCATATGGATGAACTATGGTGTTCATGCTCTTATGTACACATACTACGCACTTCGTTCTCTGCGTTTACGTCTCCCTAAGCAAATTGCCATGGTTGTTACCGTCCTTCAGATCTCGCAAATGATTATGGGTATCTTCATTGGCATTGTTGTTTATAGGAGAAAGGTGTGTCACATTCAGACCATTTTCTTAAATCTCAAATACCTCGAAAAGTTATTTCAGTCGTCCGGTGAGTCGTGCCAACAGACATGGGAGAATTTGGGGTTGTGTTTCATGATCTACTTCTCATATTTCCTGCTGTTCTGCAACTTCTTCTATCATGCCTACCTGAAGAAGAATAATCGCTATGTTGCACAGAAGAAGGCAGACTCCAAGGTAATGATTCTCAACTACACGACACCCTTGATTTGTTCATTTTGCACCCCTTAAAGAATTTCTTGGGTATTTGCACTGGTCAAGAAGCGTCATCGTATTCGCCGCGTCAGAATTAGGTTACTAAGAGTGGAAGCAGCAGGTGGTCCTGAGGACTGTCTTTAAAGGCCACATAAACGTAGAAATGGAGGGCATGGATGACGTGGCTGCAACGTCTTGATCAAATAGCAGTTACCCTGGCACAATGGTGATAGCAGGCAGATCGTAGACCATGATTAAGGCATGAGAAAACTTCCCAGAAATTGGTTGTAAAACTGAAGTCGTTCTGACTGACCGTAGTACTAAGATTTACAGAGTTCCACGAAACCATATACAGTAACCACCTATCCGTATTTTTTTGACATGTGCAGGGTGCTTCCAATGCACCCAGATGTATTAGGTTGAGTTAAAAAGTATACCCCGGTTTTGTAGTATAGATTCAAAGTTTTAACAGAAAACTGCTCAAAAAGTAAATGTTCACCAAACGGAGCTTTCTTGGGATCACCGAACAACACTTTCTTGGGAGTGAAGAATAATGGACGACCATGTGAATTAAGAAATGTCTGCGCAAAGGCTAGCAGCGACATCTCGCTCTCGCTCCCCAATTCTGCTGCTTTCACCATTCTTTCGAGGCCTTACTTCTCTTTCATCTCTTTGGGGTTGACCGGATACCCGTTACTTGAAGTCGCACAGAGTTTCACCACTGTCCTCCTCTCTTATGGATTGACGTATGGAAGTTTAGTCGACAGATCTCACTTTAGGTCGAATCGGAGCCATTGTCCGAAGAACCGAAGGAGGATATCAACGCGAACATCAGTGAAGCCGCTATTTTGACCAGAAGTGCAGCAAGAAGAAGAGCGGTAAAGGTCGATTAATACCTGAATGCTGGATCACAATTGCCCTCAACGCTGTACCCCATTTTGCTTGTACAATAGTTATTTTTTTGCTTTCTTTTTTGACGTTTTGGCATACGTTTTTGTGGACTACGGGTCCGTCGTTCTAGTTTCTCTTTCTGTGAATCGTACTATTATATCCAACAATCCTTCCTTCTTTGCGTTCCTGCCATAACAGTCATCACATCATCTTATCTAGTGAGTATTTCGTTCATTCGTTTCTATTCCAGTAGTATATTCATCGCGGAAACGCTATGTAGACAACTCACACTGCGTACTTCTAGCTCGAGCCAGGCAACTTGCAGCTTTCATTCCGATAACTATGCAAAGATTGTCACTTTGTTGATGCGAAATCCATAATCGTCTTGTCATTCATAATAACTAAACCTCCCACATGAAGTTCGATTCAGGGAGCTTTTTTTAACACATCATTCCATTGTTATAAAATCACTATTATTATCATTTATAGCCGCTATGGTTTTACGATACAGCCATTCGTCAGCCCGATTATTTTCAAAATGCAATCGATTTGCGCTTTGATTGAAGGTTCATTTTTTTTTTGTTATTCAGAAGTAGCATATCGCAGAAATGGACAATATTCAAAATGTACAACCCGTAAAAAGACAACATTCAAGGTCTAATTGAGCAGTACGGAGAGTATTGTCGAATACCTTTACTTACGTGATGATGAATTAATGGTGTCCTTGAAATTTGATGTAACCGACTGCGCCTTTGCAACTATCTGAAAAAGTTGTTTTGACATATATGAAGACACATCAAAGCTTTTTCTGTCATATACCGATAGATCTATGATAAAAGACAGGCTACAAGATGTCCCATGAAACAATCTTGACAAACAACATCTGTCAGAGTAGTGACTAATTTTAAAATGCTTGTGTAAATGTAAACGGATCGGTAGATGTGTTGTTTCTATCGCTTACTCAGTTGTATGAAGTGGGAAACCAAGCTGCAAAGAGGCGGGCAGTTGCAGTTAGGATCAGTAATCTTACTGTAATTCAGCCTTGACCCCCTAGCTCACTACAGCTATTTCTGGACTAAACAGCAAAAGCTGCTGCCCATATGACCGTCATAGCCCTTTTCTGAGAGGTAACTCCACCTATCACCTGTTGTTCCTTGGTACAGTGCACGACTCTTTGTAACTTTCACGAAACAGGGACGACGAGCCTATCAAAAAACTGAACCATGCCTACTTCTTAAGGATTTTTCTAAGAATTGGACATGCATTAAGAGTAAAGCAAAAAAGGAATTGTAAAGTATAACAGATCTTCTCACGACCACCATTTCAACAATGTTTGTTCGCCTATTAAATCGAAAGATGATGGCCGACAAAAATGGTTAAAGGGGAACTCCTGCAATTTTCAAAGGTGGCCATTTGGTCGGATATAGTACGGGAATCGAACAAAGCAGTTATTTCACAACCGTAGCCACGCACTTGAAAGCATGGTATTGAGGTGTGTGACCGTTACCGATTTGATCATTGTTCGTACAACAAGGAATCGCTGTCAGATCAATTTCATGTAAAGGCAAAGGGGGGTATCCTGATCACCCATAAATCATCACATCGTATCACAATATAATAATCAAATTCATCAATCTGACTATTGAACACTCTCATGGTGGCAAAAAAATGAAGAAAAAACAAAAAGTACTGCCTTCCTTCAAGTCCAGAATTAATGTGAAACAAGGAAAAAACCGAATGCTCATGTAGGGAACCTAATATTTCCGGTAATGCGCCATTTCGAAACACCCCTCAAACCTGTCTACCGCCGAACCATTTTACAGCAGGTCGGGGGTGTTGTGGGTAGAGGGAGATTTGTTCCCGCAAACTATTGGGAATGAACTCAATGGGTTTAAATTCATTATTCAATTGGCTTGATGCTTCTTTGGGTTTTTGATGCACTCAGCTTCCTCAGCGAGTTGCAAAAGGAGAGGGGAAGTAAATAATCAGTGGTCAACACATATCACCTTCGTCACAGAAAAGTATTGACAAATCCTTTTCTAGTCCTCGCTTTTGTTTGATCACTCTTTTCCAAAGCCTCTTGAACGGGCCAAAGTGGTAGTTCTTTACCCGGGGCGTGACAGTTTTCTTAGCTTTTCTTAAACCACTTATATAGCCTCTCCCTCATTACAACATTCCTCATAGGGTTTTCGGGGAGAAACATAATTGATTTAGCTTTCACTACGTATAGGATCCACTACGTAATTCAGTGTTGTGGAAGCTGAAGAAACGGAAAGATTGTTCTGCATGGGTGCACTCTGCAAAGTGGACTAATCACAAATTAAAATCTATCCATAACGGATACAAGTTTTTAGGCTGGATTGCATATGCTTCGAAAAGTCTTCTCATCATGCACTTAGGCAAGCTAAAAGACGGTCTGCTTACTTGGAATAGGGAAAAAACATGAAGATTGTGTATTTCCTGTCGGGAAAATTCCTTCATTCGCCAAGGATACTGATGTAAGTGGAACGCAACCCCTCTTAGGATTTCATCAAATTTTGACTTCTTTCTGTCCGTCCATTCTTTCAGTCTCAGTGTTCAGTATAAGAAAAACAAAAAGGGAAATATCGCCTCTTTGAGCACCATTCCCTCAAAAAAAAAACACTTCCCCGGCTTCGAATACTTGTTTCTGAACCGACTTGTGAAGAATATACCAACTGCAAACTCAAGACATTTCAAAATACTACATTTTCTAGATCTCACCTGAAGAATCATTTCTGGAAACCGCCTGCGTTCACGAACGATACAGGTTGTACAGAATAAAGTGCCGAAATAAACGCCGCATGCCTTCAAAATATATCTTTACAGGATGGGGCAATTCCAAAAAAAAAAAACTTCAAATTCTCTAATAATATACCTTGTCAAGGCAAACAGACTGATTGCACAAGGAACAGGTTGAACCAATCACCAGAAAATCGGATAGTAATGGTTTTCGCCCTTTTACACGCCGAGGAGGCACGAACGGGTCCCTCATGTAGAACACTGGTGCAGGGTAGCTGAATAAGGCAATGAAGAAAAAGAAATAATAAACATATTCGCTAAATAACTCACAACCCATCCGAAGCCTTGAGTTCACCGAAAAAACATTTTTCCGTCAAATTGCATATACTGCAACGAAATTGTACGAATGGTTCAAGATTGCTGATGTCTTCGTTTCCTGAAAACCCCAATGCAACAAATTTTATCAGAAATATCCAGAAAGACAGCAATGAATTGATGATGCCTTTCAGATAACTCACCCTGCTCAGCTTTTCCGGTATTGGAGAAAGCGGAAGCCGATTCCACTGCATCAGCAACTTGGGATTGTAAACCACTGGAAACATTGAATAAAACGGACGTGGTATAAGTCGAGAGTAGGATCTACATATGAATAAGACATTTAACACAATCGAATAGTGTAAATGAATTATACTGGGAGTGTTTCCATGCATTTCATCGTTTTCCATAGGTGCCATTAATCATGCGCCACAGCCTTTTTCCGATGGTGAAATATTTAGTTTTGTTCAGGTCGTTTTCCATTACTAATTCGAATCGATCACAGTAATTTAGTAAACACCCTGTTAAGGACACTGTTGAATCACAATTTAAGCAAAAACTACTGCCGGTCTTAATTGTTTGGGCGTGCCTTCCAGAAACTGTCTCAACCTTTCGACACAATTTGGGGATCGATTTTGACATCGATCCCTTCTTAATCCAGACACCCTATTCATACAACCAAGGTCAACTTACTGGACTTGTCTAAAAAAACCTTTTGAATAAATGCCATCTGTAATACCGTCATCGGCGACGTTACTCCTAATCTTTATTGGTCCCTTCGAGTCTGTGGAGAAAATTCCTTACGCAAATTCATCAGGCTTCACAAGGAGTATGGGGATTCACGGTAGAAAGGGCCAATTTTCCAAACGAAACCATTGCTCTCCTTGAAATCTCATCAAATGTTATATTTTAGCTCGAGCTGTAAGAACATCATTCTCCAACTGCAACAGCTCGCAGAATAGAACCATTGCCGCGAAGTGTATTCAAAAATACAGCTAAACGGCATGAAAAGAACGCCTTAGTAACTGCTAAGTCGAAATGAGATATTGCTACGAAATCCAAAGAAAAGCTTCGTACCCTTCATTCGTCGTCACTGTTGAAACAGAAGCACTTCCAGCTGAATCCATGAAGAAATGGAGAAATTATTTATTGAGCGTGGAATACTTGATGAGTGGTGTAAATGCACAAAATGAAAAGGACGGTGGCCGCATTCATACTAGGTGCAGTATACTGCACCAAGACTGCAGTATACTGCACTCGACTGCAGCATACTGCACCTAGTACGAATGCGGCCGGTCACGCAAGTCCTTTCCGTCCAACTCTGTGGAACTAAGAGGGCTTTGAAGTCTCGTGAGTGTGTGGTATGGGTATGGTATTTTTTCGCGGACTGTGTGTCGTTCGATCGCGTGCAATGAAAGAAAAGGTTTGAATTCCCGGAGGAAGGATATGGCAGTCTCCGCGGAACCACTTCCGCCGGCCGTGAAAATTTGGGGGAATGTTCTGCCACCCGTGTACAGTAACCCCCACAATGCCCCACGACCCACCCGTGGGCCTTCTCCCAGAGTATATCTTTGTTTCGACATATATGTATGTGAAGAGTGTTTTGAGGCGGTCTAGGGTCGATTGACAATGACTGGCGGAAGGCTGTTTGGATGTCCTGGTTTGATCCTATCGGGACCGAGCGATGTACCATTCTTCATCGACGTGATGTCATGCCGAATTTTGGAAGGGAGAACTGAAAAGACGACGTATCCGTCTTGCCTAAGATAGTAGGTAGGCAGCTAGGCATGGCTGCCAAAGAGATCAGAGTAGAAGTCGTAGATGACTTTTTTCATTGCCCTTCGAGATGCAGTAACTGCCTGAGCCATCTGAGTCTTATAATTGAGAAGCTCCGGTGGGCATTGCAAATACTCTTCCCAGCTTCCGCGGCCTCGGCCAAAGCTGCTGCTCTTCTCTATTTAAGACCGTAATTGATTGCTTCTCTGCATAGCTTCGCAAGTTCGAACGTATGTTGGCGGCTGCCTGCAGCTCGCGCGATTCCACGCTAGTGCATCAGCTCGAGACTCTTCGAAGAGACTTTTCTTGGCATCTTTGCTACTATCTGCTTTCCTGGCCTATCGTGAATATGCTCGACGAGCCGGTCGTATTCTTAATCGATGTTGTCGCTAAGAGAAACTTCCTACAAATTCGCTAGTGAAGCGAAGTGTTCCCAGTTGACAACAGTCATGGGCTTTGTTTCCCGAACATCGCAGCTCTTTCCGCGCACTGGAGGGCAAAATCTATCGCGAAGGAACGATTGTCCGATCCTTAGAACTTCGGAACAACAGTGATATCAGTCAGGCAAAACCCGATTAGAGATGATGTCGTCATCATCATAGAACTGTGCACCAGGTGACTTCCATGGCCATCGCGGAAGAGAGGGCTTCTAGAACCGCGAGTCACCATGGATAGTGTGGGTTGACAAGATAAGTCTTTCACCCTGCTCATTCTATTCCGTTCCGTAAGTCCCGATGTGGAGCTCTTCAGCTGTTCTTCTTGGGCTAGTTTTGGCGTTGAAATCCCCGAACATGGTCCCCAGGGAAGGTCCTGTCTGAAGAGCTTTTTCAGGTCCACGAAAAACAGTTCCAGCTCTTCTACTAAAGATCTCCCTCACTGAGGATTCTCTCTCACGGAATGGTAGTGGCCGGCTAGCAACGAGGCATCGTAGGGCGTCACAAGGTGGACTGTGCTGAATCGATGTACCTTCTGTATCGCGCAGGTGTATTACGCATGCTGTGTGGAAAGCCTGCGGGTGCAGTTGGTATCCAGCTTCGGCTCAGCTTGCATTGAAGCGACTGGAAAGTATCTTGGGCGATTTGGGGTCGCCTCCAAAATCAAAGGCCATCGTCCACTTTGGGATATCAGCTAACACGTTAGAGCCGGACGGGCTATTTGATGATATCTATTAGGTGTGTGCATTAATTTCCGCCGCCGAATTCCAAAGGCCGTTGCGCGAGCCATGTTAGAGGTTTACCGGTGAAACCTGTCATGTTCTGTAAGGTAGTATATTGGCTACCTACTTAAGGGCAGACAGATCAGTTTTGCTCCAAAATCCCATTGCTCTCAGACTGATTGGTCATGGATCGTAGAAAACCGTTTTCCCGGGGGGCCCTTCTGCTGCTGTTTGATTTCGAAAAAACTGGCATTGAAGCCCACCAGATGCTTTTATGGAGGACAAACTTCATCTGAACACGCACGAACCTGCTGATATGCTTTCTCTTCACTAGAGAGCTTGCAACGAAAGCGGGATGTTTATTGCCAAAAAGTAATGCTGTGTGTGCATTTGATGGTGGGATCAAAAGTGTGTTGTGTACTATGAGCTGCTGAGCCCGAACGAAACTGTTAGTGCTGACCGCTACGAACACCAAGTTGACAGTTTGTAGGATGCTCTCACCTAAAAGCTCACCTTAATCGCAAGAAAATATCATGAGGTGCCGTTCCACCACGAACATGCCAGACCCTATGTTGCGAAGAATGTCCTTAAAAAATTGCAGTTGTTGGATGGGATCAGCTTGTTCAGCCCGCATACTCTCCGGATCTTGCTCTTTCTGATTACCACCTATTCCGGTCCATGCAAGTCAGTTTGGCAGATATACGCTTCCGGAATGCCGAAGAAGTGCGAAAATAAGTGGATGACTGAATTGCCTTAAAAGATGAAGACTTTCCTAGATCCGGAGTCAACAAGATACCAGAAAGATGGCAAGAAGTTGTAGCTAACGATGGGCAATACATTGGTGAATATACATTTGGTTTTAATTTTGTAATAAGAATGTTTTTGCACGCGAAAAATCGGCGGAAATTAATGCACACACCTAATATGTGCAAAAACAGTAATATATAATGAACTACTGGTCGAAAATCGCGGACGAAATGATGGCAGCAACCACGCTTCCCAAAACGAGACTACTCGCTTTGCCCTTAACTCAGCTTCCGCGGAAAGTACTCGAAACCTATATTACAGCTTAAATGGCTGTAGGCACAAAAGATAAATGAATAAAGTCTTCGAACCCTGATCAGTCTCGTGTGAGGGATGCACTCCAGCATTCAACTTCCACTCAGAATCGTAGTGGCGTTTTGGATGCGTGTGTAGCCTCTACAGTGACTCGCCTTGACCCAACAGTGCGAGTCAGTGCCCTTTCAGTCTCAGAACCACTGTGCGATCCCGCCGGGATGGAAGGCTTGGTTGGCCTAGGCGAATATCGATCCCGGATTTGAAACTTGTGACCCGGCGTGTGTGATTGTGCGCCACTTGCCCCTACACCATCTGCGCCCAGCAGTAGGCATAGTGGTGAAAAATCACAGTGAACCCCCACATTGGGTGTGAACCCTGAACGCGTTCAGTACAGTAGATAGTGTAAAATTGACTACACCATAGTAAGGGGAACAATAAATGGAATTGGTGTAGCACAAAGTAGGCAACATGTTGACCACTTCCACCCATGAGTTCTTATCGCCCCGAAAGTACAGAGGCATCTCACAAGGGCTGATTCCGTAATTGGTTCTGTCTTTTTCTCTCCTTCACATCACAATGCCGCCACTTTTTTGCTTCTCACCTATCTGTGTAGCTTTGGAGATTCAAATAAGAAAACTAAGACTTTACACTGTGTGCATGAATTAGCGTTTCTAATTTCCTCCTTCATTGATGGCTTTCCCTTCTCCTCTCCTGCCCCTTCCACTTTCGCCTATAACCATAATTGTTTTTATTGCCTGATCGCGAATCATGATTTATGGAACACTTAGCTTACCTCCTAGACAGTCTAGAGCTCTCTTGGGTATGACGTTAGGCCCTCTCCGGAATCGCGATAGCGTCTGACTATGCATGTGACCTATACAGTGAATTGCAGTAAGGGAATGAGTCAGTGCTTTCACCTTCCTAGACGAGACTGGAACTGTTCGTTGAGTTAAAGAAGGCTTGGGTGGTTTGGGCGGTATCCAATTCAGATTCGATCGGGGTGTGATAGTAAGTGGAAATTGGCAATACGCCACCTCCTTCGGGAAGCTAGATTAAATTTCAGGATGTCATTAGTTTCCTCATAACAGAATTGTTTCTGCTCTTGGTGAATAGACTCGCAAAGGAATTGCCAAGCGGTCATCCAGAAACCTAAAAGACAGTGAAGTGGAGCCTTGATCGAAGTTGCGCAGGGATTTCACTGCTAATCGCGCTCCTACAAAAAGTTTCACTCCTGTTCAACCAGTAATAGGACTGGCACAAATTTAAAGAATGGTTTACATTAAGACTAAGGGTGGGTTCCCGAGGGTTTCCTATGGTGAAATTCCAGTCTACGGGCATTACCTTCGGCTGGCGAAACATTGAGTAGTTCTACGAGAGCGTCCTAACCCGTGACCCACCACACCTTGGCGCAAATTACAGACCTTGAATATTGCTTGATCGAAGGTGATGGGGAGCAGGTGTCCACAATGTTCAATGTTTAAAGGCTCAGCTCACAATAAAAATGGTTCTAAAATTTCTCTCTAGGGTCAACCTGTGATCCCCAAGGTAGCATAAAGGAAGCCGTCAATCAGAAAAACGGCCAAGACATGGCGAAAAAAGGACTTCAACATCGACTATCGACTTTGCCGACGAAGATACACAACGACGGACGAGTCTCACGGCGTTGTGAGGGCTGTAGGACATGCACCTTAACTATTCGCAGCGGGACACGTAGCTCGTAGGTAGCTTAGAGTAGCCAGCTATTTAGAGAGCTCTAGATACCTCTTACATGCAACTTTTGTAGTCACATTCTCGTCCAACACCTAATTTTATTTCTTTTTTGAAGCTTTATGCTTCTCTATACGCCGAGCCGCCTATTTTTGACTTTTCTTCGCCACTTTGCACCACTCTGGACTATCACCTTCATTACCCAACTCTTCACAACTTTACAACTATCGAAATTACCGTGAACTGCGCCTTTAAATGCTTCCAGGGTTCGAATGTGAATCCGAAATCGAAACACTCGATGTTCTACTCAATTTACTTGGTTCTAAGTCTATACTACCAGTTCTAAAATTTTCTGTGAAACAAAAACCTGGTGCTTCTCAAAGATTCTCTTTAGTTGGGGGATAGAAGAAACAAAAACATTGTACGTGA